GGTCAAGTGTTACAATTTTTTTGTTTTGGGTAGATAGAATTGAAGATTTTACACATATAAATGGACAAAACTTATATGCAATATTAGATGCTTTTGCTGCTATTCTCTTATTCAATGGTGGATCCAGAAAAGTTTCAGAAAGAAAAAGAAAATAATCTATGATAATTTTACAGAAGAAAAATATTTCAAGCTTTTACAGAATACATAATCTCGTGAGTCTCAATGTTTGTGTCTCAAAGGACTGTGTTTCTTTTTTGAAATATTATGTTTTGTGTCAGTGTGTCTAATGTTGGAAAAAGGGTAAATATTAGAATGGTGAAATGATAAAATCAGTTGCAAATTGTTCTCTAATTTATCTTTTAACATTCATTTAGAAAAAGGGTGAACTGATAAAATCAGTTCCAAATTGTTCTCTAATTTATCTTTTAACATTCATTTAGAAAAATTGTCCTATGGGGGCAACACCTAATTTTGATGGGAGCAAAAGCAAATTACTAAACATGTTAGTGTAAAAAGAGATTGTCTTGTAGGGACATAATAAACTGCATCTAAGTTGTCTAATTTTAATTCTGCAGGAATGAAGATGGAGAAAGGAACATACTGATAGGGGCCAAAATTTAAACTCAATATGAGGTTTATAGTTGACTAGCATTTTTGAAGCCATCCTGCTAGCTGTGTGTAACACCCTTACTCGTGGGATTCTTTTCTTCTCATATCTAACAAAAGATGAAGCCACAAAAGTTCAATCAAACTGTTAGATTGATATACGCTTATCAGCACATAAGTTTCATGGCCATGAATTAAGGTGACAACACATTTAGGGTGGTATCAAAATGGAGTAAGGGAACACGTTACATGAAATTTTTCTCCAGTAGGAGGGAGAGCCATTTTTTGTTTAAAATAACAAATGGCATACCTCAGACGAAAACTAAAGAGACAGCAAAGATACCTTCTTAACGCTGAGTTAACTTCAGACTCATCAGGGTCATGTTTAGCAATCTTGTCAAGCTCAAGTATCAGTTGGTAACAATCCTGAAAATGTATTGTAACAAAATACCGGAAATTCAGAACATAAATCTATATAAATTATAAACCTTTTCTTTGTTTCATTCCTGAAGCATTTAGCTACTTCGGTAAAGCTAAAATTTTATGGAGGAATGAAACTGAAAATAAGACAGATTGATAAAAAATAAATAAAGATTTTAGTTATATAAGTTAATTATTATCCATGAAGCACTTTATATATTAGTGTTGCTAGAATTGTATATACTCAAGGAAATACATTTTATTTTGGAAGTTCAATGTTACAATGACCAACCTCTATCGCCATACAACCCCCTTGACCAAGATTTGGTTGCATTGGATGAGCTGCATCACCTAACAAAGTCACTCTCCCAATTCCCCATGTGTTGATCATGTCTCTGTCATATATATCCCTCTGCAGAATCATATTCTCTGGTGTTTCTGATATGAGTGCAACCACTTCATTGCACCAATTACCAAAGAGATCCAAAAGCCTCTTCTTCTTGCCTGCTAAAACTTGGCCAAATTACTTCAAATTTTCAATTACCATATCAATTGATAAACAAACACTGGGTAAACATACCTTCTGGGAAAGGGTCATTTGAAGGGGGTTCCCCATGGAATGCATACCATTGCATCTTTCCATGGCCAACATCTGAAGCAACAAAGTACTGGTTCATGCCCAAGAACACCCGATACCTTCGAGTAATCACCAGATCATAAACTTTAAACAGTATAACAGCCTAGTAACATTGTCCTAACATGTTATTTGGGAATGAAGTACCTACCCAATTGTATCAATATATGGGGGCACATAGCTTGTTAATCCACTATAGCATGTGAAACCCGAGTAATTTGCTTCTTGCCGCCCAAAGAGTTTTGAGCGAACCTAAGAAAACAAAACAGAATAGATTGAATGGAAAAGGACTGACTTGTAAATAAAACTAGAAGGAAAGGGTGGTATATTTTACTTCTGACCATATTCCATCTGCTCCTATTAAAATATCACCATCATGTTGCTCTCCATTTTCAAGGATCACTCTAACCTGATGTGAGCGAAAAATTCGTTAAAAATTAGAATAACCAGTAACATAAGTGAGCAATCAGAAATTAGTTGTACAGAGAAACTCAAACCTGGCTAGGTTCCTGAATAAAATCTACAACTTTACATTTGTTTCTAAGTATGTTTGAACCAACTGCATTGACCAATATATCTTGCAATGACATCCTGCATATGACTAGGGTAAGAGGAAGCTTTTTCTTTGAAGCAGGAGTCAAAAGATCAAACATACTGAACCTGTGGAAAAAGAAAAAGAAAAAATAGTGACAATAAAACACAATTTATATACTAAGATCAAACTCCAGTTTTAATTGAAGAACAATACCAAAAGTAAAAAAAAATATATATGTAAGTTTTGTCCGGTATTATGTAGTATATACCATCTTGTCCTTTTTGAAGTTTCATGTTCTGCTTCAAAGAATCGTATTAGAGACAAGAAAATGATGAAACATAACAATAAAATACCACTCTCCAGATAGACCATCAGCAAGGCCATTAGTCCTATTGCCAGTGACACAGCCAGCCTCCATTATCTGCCATGCAACACTCTGATCGATGGCTTCCAATACAGCAAGGGCACTGCTCAAGAGTTGAATTGGACCTCTGTGCTTACCTTCCCCTCTAACAGAACTCAAATCCTTCTCAAATACCTTTACTTCATACCCTCTGTGCTTTGCAGCTAGAGCCAAAACAAGGCCACCAATGCCCCCACCAGCCACCAACACTCTCAGATTCCTCTTCTCTTCCTCTAAATTGGGAAGAACCATCCCCTTCCCCCCTTCAACTCTAACTGAACACCTTCTCTTATTGATCCTCTCATTGGGTTGTCCATATCTATATCTGATGGAACCCTGGTGTTGAACCTGACTGCTAGTGCATGCACACAGGATCTGCACAGAAGCCATTGATTGATAAAGAATTGGAAGAAGAAGTCAATTACGGATGGTTGTGTGAGTGGAATCTGTTATGACTTGACGGACCCAAGTAGTATATTGTTCAACAAAGTACTCTATCAACAGACATGGTGCGCATTTCCTGTGGTATTTTTGGAGCTCACACAAATTAGGCAAACTTGAACTTTCTTCCATTATAATAAGAGGCACTAATTGTTAAAATAAATTAAATGGAATTTTTGTGAATCATAAACTATTTTCTTAAATAGGTTCTTCGAATAATCTTTTAAATGCTTCTTTAATATCACATATTAATGCAATAATTAGTATCAACAATATCTTTAAATTTATGATATTTCATCATGCACCAAAGAACATTAGTATTTTATTAAATTCTTTAAATAAATATAAGTATCAAATTAATGATTCCTGTTTAAGAGTAATTAATTAATCAATTTTAAGCAAAAAATACTATAATATCTACTAATGATCTCTTTTAATTTATTTAATAGATTAACTTTTGATAACATCATTATTTTACAAAAACAATTACAACTACATTTCTAATAATATTATCATTAATGCTCTCTTGTAGTTATTATCCACGTTACTACTTTATCTATTATTATTAAGATGATAATGTAAAAATTATGATAGAAAGTGATTGTATTGAGATAAATATCTTGAAGGAATATTTTATAAATTATTAGTAATTAATATATTAATCTTTTTAAATTAAGAGTGAATTAGTAAATAAGCTGTTTCAAAACCTATTTACAGCAACACAATTATTACGAAAAAAAAAATAAACGAAAACACAGACGAGATATTTCGGTTTTAAATCTTATTGTTTATGAGTAGTGCGACATACGTATTCGGTTCTGTCCCGAGAACTCCATGCAGATACTTTGGATATATATATATATATATATATATATATATATATATATATATATATATATATATATATATATATATATATATATATATATATATATATAAATAAAGATTAGCTTAGCGTTCGTACAAGTATTTTCTTTGACGGACATAATGACAGCAATGGTTGTACAGGTTTTTTCTTCGTTTCAGATAATGACACCAATCGTTGTTGAAGGAGAAGGACAATTTTGATGGCTATGTATGCATTATCAACTGCCAACACATCTTAATTTCACTTTCGTCTTTTAATTGATAAAAAATAGTTATATTAAATTTTTTACATTGATTAGACGAAGATGCATTTATTTCACATGGAATTTAAATTTTAGAAGAATGAACAATAATATTTTTAATAAAAATTAATTTGAAGAATATTGAGCGACAGAAATTGGTTCCACCAAACCAAGGTCTTGGGACTATTCTGTCAAAAATATCCTGCAAACCCATATATTAAGTTTATACAAACACTTTTAAAAAAAATAATAATACTATAAAGCAGAAATAATATTTGTAACTTTCATAATGACAATAATCACATTTAATGAATGAACCAAAGAAAATTGAGATCCTTGGAGTTTTAGAGTAAAAATAGGTAATTAAAACCGTTGATAATAAATATTTCATGTGATGACTAATTTGGCCTACTTTATATGCTTTGGAAATTAGAAGACTTAACAGTGGCGCTACATAAAGAAACGTTATTAATCACATTAGGATTCATTGGTAAAGAAAAAACAAACATGAAATGTATAAGAGGACGTGTAAACTTGAGAAGTGGACACCAAATGGACACATCAAATACAAGAATTTATACACTACCACACATTAATCACTAATGAGATAGAATTATACAAGTATCCGCTGGTCCTAGGTCAACTTTCAAACTGAAATAAATAATTATTACCAAACTACAATATTTGTCATCCTAGATAATGCCTAATCCACAAGAACCATGCCTACAGCTATAAACTGTTAGAGAGGGTAATAATCTTTATGTCATAATACAAGAGAAATACACCCTTTTCCAGAATTGTACTACCATACTGCCTCCCCTGCTGATTGTACAAAGTAGCAGGTACTCTTCATCACTCTCGATCCATTGATTGGGCATGTGAGAAATGATGGCCAGCCCCATCTGTATAAACATAATATCATCAAGGTTCGTTTGATAAAAAGATAACCGATTCCTTAATTAATCACTATGTTTAATTTGAATAGCACAGAATGTGGTAAAATGCATGTTTCATTGACATTACTTAGTATTATTAATATTGTTTTAGAAGAGGCAACCATCCCAAGAAACATCAATACTGCAAAAAGGTGGATGCCTGTGTATCCACCGTAATCAACCAATAAAAAACATGATCGTATAAACCAAAATGGCGGAAAAATTGAGTGTAGTATTTCATACTTTCATTTCTACGCTACACCATACTTGTATCACATATCAATTCATATCTTCACTTCATAACTTTATTGCCACTGAGCCATGATTGTTTGAGATGGCACATGGAAAGTCTACAAGTTTATAAAGAAAATCACCGAACTGATGTAGAACAATTGAATGTGAAGTAAAACGCGTTATATGTAACGGAGGAAAACATAGACATATGTAACTATGTTACCGCTGCCCTTCTCATTTTCATGTAGTTGATAAATCCCAATAGAAATATGTTGACACACTAGTTTCGTACTTGTCAACAACTTAACAGGTGAGACTAACCAATCTAAGCTAACATTACAAGTGAAAATCAAATCACATTGCATGCTCAGAAACTGTTGTATACTTGTACCTTACAAATTATTTAAGAATGGGCAATCAAATGGACCTATTCAATATTAAAATACTGTCCCCTATATTTAATTTAAAACAGAGTAATTGATAGCAATGATTCGGGATGCTATGACGCATTGCATCATGGCCCGTCTAGATACTACAGATGAGGCCTCTCACCTTGCCATTATGGCATTCGCATTAAGTGTGTGTGTGTATGTGTGTGTTCATTAACATCTGTTGCAGCCACTACAACATATGGGTATAATCTTATGCCCTTTGATAGGATGAGCAACCCACATCTTTTAACCAAAAGTCCATCTGCCCCTCTTCCAGCCATACCTACTCTTCTCTGGCTAAGACCAATAACTATGGCTGTTCAGCTCCATTTTGACAGCAGCTTCTTGAAAATTCCCTCTCCCTTTGTTCTATTTGAAGTGCTAATGAGATGCCCAAATGTGACCAGTCTTGTTTAATAAAATATATGCTGGAGACTAAGACTTCTATTAGAGAGACATTCTGATGTAGCCCAATTAGATGTCAGAATCACTAACACATAAAACAAAAAGACAGCAGAACTTGTTACTGTAAACCCCGGCCCGCCCAAAAACGCACTAATTACTGGATGAATGTTCTCCCCCTATCCTTCCAGCTTTTTTTCCATACTGTTTTTGATTCTACAGATCCTCATTCTTTCCCGCCCTTGCCACACGGGTAACCTGAAATCCTTTTCTGCCCTTTCCTCATAATAAACATGATCACAGGAATGGCAGACACATTTTTTATATTCACCAAAGAAAAGGCATAACATTATCCTTCAGTGATATACACTCTCAAAAGGTCTCTTGGGAAGCTTTAAAAAAAAATCATTAAAATAAGTTAATCTAAACAAGCACTTCTTTGGTTATAGTAACTTGATGGCTATTTTACAGAGCATTGAAAGTTTATTATTCTTGTTCATTTGTTTATGGAACTAAATTTTAAAACTATCAGGATTATTTATTTATAGAGTTTTGCACATTTTTCTAAGTATTTTCATTCTAGCAACTATCTTTGGTGCAGCCATTCAATGATCTGCTAGACCACTGTAGTGATTCTGAAGTTGACTGCTAGCCAGAAATTTAATTACTAACGTTTAGAGGGCTAATTAGGAAACGACAAAAATCAGAAATATTGCATTGAGATAGAGAAACTGAGATGTACCACTTTCACCATCAGAGAGATCATTAAGTCTTGCTATTGCATCAATAAGAGCCTGTTCATGATCCTGCATTACATGAAATAAAGATCAAGTATATATACAAACATTTGCAAGAAATGCAAACAAGTCAATAACTTAACTACATCTAATAGCAGAGAAATATAATTGTCCCCTTACCTTCAATACTTTCTTTGCTTTCTCAATTTCAAGGGGATCAGGATGATTTACACTGAATACCCTCTCCACCTGTTGAGCTCACAAGAATTAATATATGGAATAAGTATTGAAAACCAATAAATAACTCTTGAGCAGCCATGTATTATTAGAATGTGATAAAGAATACCTTATCTTACATTAACTGTTCCATATTAGTTTAGTAATTGAATTTAAAAACGCCTCTTTGAAGTTATTCATAGAAAATAACTGTTCGCAGTTATGTATTAGGGCATATTTGCAATTAGGTAAAAGGTTTTTCAGTTTACAGGTAGAAAATACTCAGTAGGAAACTTTTGTTTGAGACAGTATGTGAACTGCTATATTTTATGTGATCAGGGCTCAGTGTTATAATCCATTGCTTTATCAATTGAAGCTATAAAAAATTATACTATCTCAATCAAATAGTTTTCTGATTGAACTGCTTTCATTACCTCCTTGATTAGTGTGTCTGTGTGAAGTATTTGTATATCATCAGGCGCCTTCTTTCCTATGCCATTCTGTGATGACAAAAAATCTTTTCTGGATTGCCCCTTTGTAGCTCCTCTACCTCTTCCACCTCCAGGAACACCATCTCGTCCAACAGACCTATTCACCCCATGACCAGAGCCCCCGAAACCCCCACGATGATTGATTCCAGGATCCTCGCCAACCCATTGAATATCTTCAGGAGATATCTGCAGTTAAAATACTGCATCTGAATTAGCAAAAACAATATATCATTAAAAGTGCTAAACATGTCAACAGCAAGGATCAAATTTTTAAACTCATATTCCAGAATGTATTATACATTCAAGAAAATAGGACGATCAATCCTTCCATCTTACCAAAATCAAAGAACCACAATCAGGTATTAATTGAAGGTTAAACAAGTTAAAATATTGTTTGTTTCACTAGGGGTTTCGATTTATACAATCCCAGTGTTGGACTAATCAAGTATATTGAATACAAATTACTTGCTTAATTTTGCTCTCTATTTGGGTTTTTGTCAAGTTTTTTCAGTCTAGAGCAGCCAGCCACCATTCTTTACACTCTTTAATTATCAGTGAAGTGGACCATGTAGCAGCCACAATAGCAAGGAATAAAAATACTTCTAAAAAGATGTTTAAAGAGTAAAACAGAAAAAACGCTCCAAATAATTTAACATCCATCATCCATCTTATATTAAGTGTGATAAAAAAAACGAATTACCAAGAACAAGTGTTAAAAAGAATAATCAAATAGGCAGATTAGATCAGTTATAACCAAAAGGAGGACAGATATACCTCTGAAAGATTAACCCATTCCCATGTTTCATTTGCACTTCCCATGTCATAGACCAGATTATGGCGTCCCTGAAAATGTTAGTAACAAAAGTGAAAATTTAAGCAACATATTAATGGAAAAGAATTTCCCAAGTATTTCAGGGCTGTTAATACATCAGCTGGATTGTAATTCGTGATAACAGCTTCATAAAAGTTATTGTCGTCAGGCCATCTTGTCCGCACTCTCCTACCAACCAAAGAGTCAAATGATGCTCCCTCCGCATGCTCACCTGCGACAGCTCTATTAGGTGCTTGATTCCTTCCAGCTGGTCCAGAGGAAGGATACTGTTTCATTGAAGAGACACCGGGTAATATTTGACCCTGCAAATGAAAGAACAAAACACAATTATCATGCCAAACCTAAACTCAGTGAACGTTTTATATACAAATAAAATAAGAGCCACTTAAATTCTACATGAAACCAACTTACAGGTTTGTGTTTCTTTCCCTTTGATCCAGGAACAGATCCTCGTTTCGCTGCAGAAGAAGATGGTTGGTGGGGTGCAGTCACTGTTTGGGGGTGAAATGGAGGAGAAGGCCCACCAAAAGATCGTGATGGTACAGATGGTGTAATCTTCTGCTTTTTGCGAGAAGCAGAGACCGTAGGACTGGGAACTGAGTCATGAAGACCTTGACCAGTACTAAGTACACCAGGCTGATGGCCACCTGTCTGTCTCCACTCCCTGGTGTCATTCCCCAGCAAAGCATTTATTAACACAACACAATAACAGCGCAAATGTGGAAATTCATGACAAACTACAAAATAGAACAACAAAAACCTCGCTTCAATATTTTATCAGACCTTATCCTCCGTATCACATCATCTGCATTAACTCGACCTAGAAGTTCTCTGTGCTCCTCATTTGACAATCTCAGTTCTTTTCTCAGCTCTGTAATCAAACTTTCTTTCTCCTGAACAAAATACATGTCAAGTGTCCATAGCAGTCACTCAAACCTAATAAAAAACCTCAAATTTTAGGGGAAAAAATAAAAAATCTAGCATACCCAAGTAATGGCATCGGCTTGAGCTTTAAAGGCTCTTAGAACTGAACTGTACGCTTCTTGCTCAAGCTGATGAATTTGGGTCTCCATATCAATTTCCCCATACATCCTAGGGTACGGAATTGAACCAACAGCTGATCTTCCATTCCCAGCTAGACGTCCCCCTCCTCCTCCCCCTCCTCCCCTGGAAATTCTATTCTGATGGGTTGGTGGAAGATCATCATCAGTTCCTGCAATCATCAAACCCCAGTTAAGCAACATAACAACCAATTTCAAACCTTGAACCAAATATCAACACAACCATATTTTGCAGCACTATTAAAAAATCAAACCCATCCACTGAAATGACACAGCAACCATTCCTTCTGTGCATAATGAGTCGCAGTACTAACTAACCACACAACACAAAGACAAAACCAGCTCTTCAAAAAAATCAACCAGAAGCTGTTGCTTTGCTTGGGAGAAAACAATTACAATCGACCACCTCTTACCATGGACAAATTATTCCAAATTCCAATGCTATGAAAGTATTTGACGCATTAAAAGCCTCATTAACAAAGCACGTCATCCCCAGACTTAAATTCAACGCTGGTCAATATCACACTGAACCACTCAAATGAACATAATCATTCAAAGAGAACAGCTCGAAAAAGAGACATTCAAGGATCTTGACTCGCACCACAGACAGTGTCTTGTCGTCCCCCCACCCTCTTTTCACCTCGAAATTTAGGTCAAGCGAGTGAACGAGCAAGAACCATAAAGCAAAAGCGTATCTCAGTTGCGACTAATAGAAGAAACGCGAAGAGAAACAAAAATCATCGAACGATTCGACGGCAGAAGGGGTTGCAGCTTCGGAGCGGTTATTTTGGCCGAGTTTCGATTCGGAAGAAATAGAAACAAAAACTGATGGGGATTGAATAACAAGAGAAAGAGAGAAAAAGAGAGAGAAAGAGAAACCCTAACCCTAAACCTAAAAGGGGAAGAGAGTGGGGGGAGAGAGATTACCGCTACTGTCATAGGGTTCGTAGTCCATAGCCAGCTTGCAGATCGAAGCAATCCGGTAGAGCGATTGAAGGATTGATTCAGATTCAAAGAGAAGAACACAACAAAAACAAAAAGGTTGGCTTTGTGAGTCGGAGAAAATGAATGAGTGTTTGAGATCGCGGCGGGTCGACTCAGACTCCGACTCGGACACTCTCAGCCACCGTCACACAACACAAAATTACAAAATACCCTCTAACTCCAATACAATATAATATCCCAATTTCTCTCTATAACATAATAATATATTTTTTTAAATCATCATAATAATGTATTATTATTATTATTATTATTATTATTATTAAAAATCAATCATATATAAATTTTAAAACTTATGTTAAGTGCCTTTCATGTTTATTACACATAAACATTTTTACACTTTCACATTTATTAAAAATGAAATTAACTTATGGAGTCATTAAATATCAAAATGGATAATCTTTTAAATGTGATAACATTAATTATATTAGAAGTTTCAATGTAAAAATACTAATTATATTATAAATTAAATTTATATTATTAGTTTTAATTTTTCAATAACGTGTAATTTAAATATGAACACCCCAAAAAATACTAAAGATGTGCAACTGAGATATAGAAATATAATAGAAAAAAAGTGTTACATTTGAAGTATATAAAAATAAAAGACTACAATTGTATAATAGAATATTTAGATGACTAAAAGTTTGGTTAAACCTTTTTTTTATTAAAAATATGTTTTTTAATATATAAAAATTATATATAAAAAATGTTTTAATAAAAGGAGGACTTACAAAATGATTATCTCTTAATTACATCTAATTGTGTAAATATTAAATTGAATGCTTAAACACTGAAAAATGTGTTTAAGTTTTATAGTCAACCCCTTCTAGCATATAATCTAAGCTCCTTTGGATCTTGTGTGATTAAAATCATCTACTTTCACCTTTAACTGAACACCACATTTAATGCTGTAGAATATTCAATGAATTGATTCAAGTGTGCTGAATTAATCCACTTAGCTCAAAAATAATCATGTTCAAGTAGATGAAACAATACAGTATAGTCTAGAATCATAACTCAAAGGATTATGAAGTGAACATAGAAGGGCAAGGACGCACAGAAACTGTTGTAACACCCTCGAGCATTTGTGTAACCTTCTTCATGGAGGGTCTGAGTGAAGGATCTTCTTGAGTGCACCAAATTGCAACCATCACATGCTTCTCCACCCACTTTATATCATTCTTTGCATCCTCATCATTTTCTACCAATTTAGCCACCTTTCCTCGGCTATAACAACGATAAGCCCAATCTATTAGTGCATCTTCTTCACTTTCCAGCGCAAAGGCAACACCTGACTTGCAACATATGATCTCTAACAGCACCACTCCAAAGCTGTACACATCTACTTTGGTTGTGATTGAAGCTTTCCTGAACCATTCAGGTGCAAAGTAACCAATTGTCCCTCTCAAACCCGTCCTAGCAGCTTTGGTTTGCTCAGCCAACAACAACTTTGCCAACCCAAAATCAGCAATCCTAGGTGTGAACAAGTCATCTAGGAGTATATTCTGAGGCTTTATGTCACAATGAATGATCTGAGTGCTGCACTCTTCGTGCAAATAAGTGAGTCCCCTTGCAATTCCCAAAGCAATTTGCACTCTTTGGTTCCAATGAGGCCTTGAGATCCCAAACAGAAACCCAGCCAATGAACCATTGCTCATGTACTCATACACCAAAAGACGATGCTCCCCTTCATCACAATAACCAAGTAAACGGACCAAGTTCCTGTTGTGGGTTTGTCCAATCACACTCACTTCTGTTTTGAACTCCTTGTCACCTTCTTGCACAACCTTGTCAAGCCTCTTCACAGCAACATACCTGCTTGTGTTTGATGTCAACACCCCTTTATACACAGTTCCAAAAGCACCAGCACCCAACATTTGTTTGAACCCTGTGGTTGCTTCTTCAAGCTCCTTGTATGTGAAGTAGCTTATTGTACCAAGTGACAAGTTTGGGCTATTCAAAAGCCTCTTGTGGTAGAAAACGAAAAAGACAGCAAACAAAGCAACGAGTAGAAGAACATTTAGGAACGCTGAGCTTCCAAGTAGTATTGATATGACAAGAACAAGTGTGGTCTGTTCCTTTTCCCCTTTATTTAAATCAGTTTTAGGCACCTTGACAAGAGCAATTCTAGTCACATTAGGGTGCTTCCTTCCATTGCTCAAAGGATACTTCTTCTTCCAACATTTGCCCTCACCATATATGGCCACTGCACAAAAACAATCTTCAAGGCACTTTTGTCTACACATATCCTTGTCCATTGCAGTTCCAATCCACCTGTCATAATCAGAGAGAGGCCAGTCCAAATTGCTATATTCTTTGAAATCTACAAGATCCTTATTCTGCTCCCACCCGTCTCTTTTGCAACTACGCAGTGGAAAATCTGGTCTACAACCGGTGAGATTGTCATGTTCAAAAGGAGAATAATGATCTGGGCACTCACAACTACTCCTATCATTGATGGTAACACAGTAGCTGTTAAAGCCGCAGATAACATTGCCAGTTTGCCTCGTGAAGGAAAGACAAATATCTTGTGGATACTGTTGCTCCACACTCCACCATCTGGAACTGCAGCTATTAGCAACAGCTGTGTGCTCACCTAAATATGAATCATAGGTACTATCAGATATCTTATGCAACTTAATAGGATTGATTCAACAGTATATAGGATACAATAACTGTAAGATGCAAATATAAATGTGCCAATTCATATAAAGATAATAATAAATATATAATTGTAATTCTAGAAATTCAAATTAAGAACATATTTCTTGAATATTACTAATAACATGGTTTTATATATTTTATCTCAAACACAGTTCTATTGGATTTTCTTAACTTTTTTAAAAAGTTTGGAAAGATACTTCATGTATCCAAAGTTGTGTCAGATACACATAAAAACTTATGTGATTTCATAGGAACTCACCTTTTGGGTGCCGATATAGTCTGAAAACCCCATCAGGGTCAATTCTAGCCATGTAAAAGAACTCATCTGATCCACCATATGTGATTTCACTGATTACTGTACCTGTGTCATTTTTTATGTACATGCGTCCAGACTCATCGAAGAAGAGCTGTGATCTTGAAAGTTCCAGTGGCCCAGTAAGCCTCATGTGTGGGAGATTGAGAGCTTTCATCATCATAGCTTGATTTTGGAGAATAGTAAAGAACCAAATTGCTGTCGTTCTGCCAACTGAGTTCAAAACTCCCATCACCAAAACTCGTGTCAGATTGTCGTGCTCTGAAGCTTTTAGGCTTAGCCAAATTCTGACCAGGCAAAATGGTATCTGTGGGCTCCTCAAAGCTCTCCCAAACCTTCTTCCCACCTTCATCCACAAGCACAAAACTTCCATTGTCTAGCATAGAAGCGCATGATACCAAAGGGACAGTGTTGTTTTCTGGACGGTGCCACGTGTCATGACCCTTTGGATCATACACTACAATTTGTCTGTGAGCTTCAACGTGGACCCTAATGGAAAAAGATGAGTTTGTTTTGGCTTTGCATACCATATTATAGTTTTGTTGGGGTCCTTGGCAAACCAAACTGCAAGCACGGACATGAACTCCTTGTTATCGTATAGAACACTTTGGAAACCAAGGCAAAGTGACCAGAAGGTGAGTTCCATGGAATTGACTCATTGGTGAGTAGAGAGGAGTTTAAGTCCACACTAGAAACACCACTGTTTGAAGAAGTAGCACTGAACAAGGACGAGGGAAAGAGAAGAATAATTGAAAGAAGAAAGTAGGAATCAAGAAAAGTTAAAGAAGCCATCGGAGCTCTCAAAGAGCCTATGAATGTTGATTCATCAAACAACATATTATAGCATGATATTGTCGGTCTTCAGCCATGGTAAAGTTTGATTTGGTCTTGGTCTTGGTCTTGAATCTTCTGATTTTGGTTTTTTTCTCCCTACAAAAGTCTTTGCACATGTTCAACCAAGTCTCTCTATAATCACAATCATTCATTTCATGTTCAATGTTATTACAATTAAAAGTATAAATAAATTTAATATAAAAGATTAATATATTATTATAAGAATGGTTATGTATATTTTGGTAAGTCACCAATTGTTACAAAAGTAACCATTTTATTGTCCTTGGAGATTAAATATTTGTTGAATACTATATCATTAATTTTTCCTAAGTTTGAGTAATCAAAGTTTGAATAATCAAACAGTAAAAGAATGACAACAGAAAAGCTATTTTTTTAGTAAAATATATACCAGAGGATTAATTTCATATTCCTTCTTACAAATTTCTAGCCTATTTAATTGATGCAATAATTAAATTTACCCACTAGAGTTAAAAGTGTTATTTACTTCCTAATCCCTTAGGTAAGCAAAATTATTCACTAAACTTTTAATTTCTCAATTCCTTGGAATAAGAAAAATTCACTAATAATCTCCTCCACAATAAGTAGTTAAGTTTGCGTAATTTTTCAATTAAACAAAAATCTAACTTATCTCATCTAACAACATAAACAGTGTCAATTTTTCCAAATATAACTGCTTAAAATTGAACATCAAAAACCATTGATAAGATACTGGAGTAAATGATATTACACTGCATCAAATTAAATAGGTTTAGAATCTGTCTTACACAATACTACATCAACCCTCTAACAAAAGAAAAGTTTAGCCTTTCATACAGAAATTAAAACCCTAAAAAAAAACTACTCCTCCTCCGCTGCTACTACTCTTTTTTGCCTCAGCTCTCTCTGCTTTTTTTTAACTCCCTCCCTTTCCACATCAGCCCTTTTTTCCTTTTTTGTTAGCTACTCTCGTCTTTTTCCTTTTCAGCTCAAGCCCAATAGCAAAAAGGGACTTCCACTGCCAGCTTATGAATGACGTGAGTCACACAAGTCCGACAAAATTTATTCTAAATGTATCTGTTTTTCAACAAAATAAAGAAATTACACGACAAGTTAAATGCAACAGTAATGCATGAAAACACTGTTCAAATGCTACAAGAATGCATGCAATTGACCTAATTTAATTTATAAATGTGAGGTGAATTAAACATGCATCAAAATCTCCTAGGCTTAGACCTTTGTTTGTCCTCAAGCAAGGAGATTTCGATGGGCACATGATGATACAAGTATGGATGCAGATTATCATACCTCAAGTTCCAGTTCCCACAGAAAAAATTTCAGAGCACACCTCTCATCCTTTTTCCAGCTTGATTCCTACTTACTTGAACTGCCCACCTACTCAATTACGTGTAACCAAAGAATTGCAAGATATATCATCACTTGAGCATTATGGATCAATGTTTGAAATTAATCCTCACAGTGTTTCTCTCTAGGTGAGTGTTTCTCTCAATCACACATCATTTCTATGAACATAAGCATTGATATCTTCTTTCCATTATCACTCTTGAAAGAAAAATAGAGGATCACAAGGTCTTGAGATGGTTATAATAGGGCTTGGCTAGTGAAGAAATACATGGTTTTTCTAGATGCACAAAGTTCCAAACTCCAAAGAGCAAATTGAAAATGAAAAATTATTTGAACCATTGAACCTGACCCTTTTCTTTCTTTTGATAACTTCATCCACATCTATTACTCTCAATTTCTTTCTTTCAGAACTCTACTTTTCCCTGTGATTCAAATTAAGGAACCCCTCTCTTTCAAATTTTTATGTGATCTGCTTGGTCCTCTTTTTCCCTTTTTTTTAGATAAGATTTGAATATGATATTAGAGAACCTATTTGAGCAGCTTCTCGAGTACTTAAGAGAGGTGGCTTCTATGTTTTGATACACCGAATTTTATCATTTTCCTTCCCTAAATGAGTTTCACTTCCCTAATTCTTAACCCACTTCATTTTCAACGTGCTCTTTTAGTTTGGTCTAGGTGGGAATTTGAAAAATTGTAAGGGTTTCAGGATCAGAAAAAAGATGTATATAAGGCTCAAAAGGGTTTATCAAGGGAAAAATTTTGCATCCTGGTTACTAATCTGGCTCTAGGCTCACAGGGCTTTTTAGTATAAACAAAAATTGCCTTGATCTTTTCAAATTTTTCATGCAAAAGCAACTGTTTCAATAATTAATCAATGCAAACACATATGTTATGATGGTGTCTCTCAATAATGTGGATATAATTATTTGGTGCTCTCACTCACTGGTCTGACCGAAAGCTTTCAATCACTGATCTTTCGTGTAAAGTTGAAACAATGTTTAACAATTCTAGGATCATACATAATTGATAGAGTGCAACCACACAATGAGTTTAGCAGTTTATTGGCTCTGAAGTGTCACTACTAGAAAAATGGTTAATAGTGACCGAAATTAGTAACCGAAAAATTCAGTCACTGATAGTAACTGAATCAGTGACTGATTTCCGTTTTATATTTAGTGACTGATTTAGTGACTAAAATTTCAGTCACGGAAATCGGTCATCGATTCGGTCACAAAATCGATCACCGATTCGGTCACTACTAGAAAAATGGTTAATAGTGATTGAAATTAGTGACCGAAAAATTCGATTACTAATAGTAATTGAATCAGTGATTGATTTCTCTTTTTATATATAGTGACTCGATTTAGTGACTAAAATTTCAGATCACTAAACAAATAATATATAAATTAGTGACTATTTTTTATTTATATAAATAATTTTTAAAAATATTTTAATAATATATTAAATATAAATCTACTTAATAATTTAAAATAATTGATAAAAATTTTAATAACATTATAAAAAATTTTAAAAATAGTTTATTAACTTATTAAATAATTTAGTAATATAGTATGTAAATAAAAAAATTAAAATTAATTATTAAATTAGTTACTAGATTCAATCATTAAAATAATTATTAATTTAATCTCTTTTATATATATAATCAATGATTAAATTAATTATTAGTTTAGTCTCTTATTTATATATATATATATATATATATATATATATATATATATTACTTTTATGTTAATAAAAATGTATTTCAATGTATTTATAAAAAAATTAAAATTATTTTAATTATTGAATTGATATTTTAAATTTATATTAATATTTTAAATAATTTAGTAATTGGATAAATATTTTAAGTTTATATTAGTATTTTTATAAAAGTGTAAAGATTAAGTGAACTTATTTTAAAATTTAATTAAACATAATAATATAATATAGTATTAACCATAAATATGTGAAGATTTAGTTAGAAATTAATTTTAAGTTTTATCGTTTTTATTTAAAAAAGATTGTTAAAAAAATCAAAATAATTAATTAAAATAAATAATTTTAATTTAATAAATGTGTTAATATTATTAGTTATTGGAGAATTAAATTTATAATAATAATTATATAAAATTATAGAATTAATAAAATTTAAATTATTGGTATTTTTTTAATCATGAAGCTAAAATTTGATAATATTAATAAATTAAAATTAAAAAAATAAAAAAATTTATATATATATATATATATATATATATATCACTTTAATTATTTTAATTAAAAATAATTTCATAAAAAAACTAATATTTGAAAATAAAAATGCAAAAGTATATAGTTTTTCTTTTATTTAATTATATTTTTATCTTTTACTTTTTGGGTTTTAGTCCATAACAACAATTTAATTGTTCTAATTTCCACAAAAATATATAATTTCTCTTATTAACAATTTTTTTTAATCAGATTAAGAAAATTATTACTAATAAGATTCAAAACTAGTACCTTAGAGTTAGATATTAATACTCCAACCACTAAACTGTTAGAATTTTTTAATAAAAATTTACAAATAAATTATATTTATATACAAATAAATATATATCCGTGTAAATATATAAATATAAAATATATAAATATAAATATATTTATATATTTTGATATATTTATATATTTATATGTTCGATGTGAGGATCACGCTAGAGGGTGAAAGTGTGTGTCGAGTGAGTTTTCAAAATTTGATGTCAAATTTGTGAGCGAGTATCTTTATATGGATTTGTAATTTAATAATAGAATATAATCTTTATAATTTATTTATGTAATGATATAAAATAATTGTTTTCTTTATTTATTTTTATTTTATTTTAATTTATTCTTTTTATCTTTTTTTCTTCTATTATTTAATTAAAATTCTTATATTAAAATAATTTTACATTAATAAAAATAATTAAATATTTATTTTTAAAATTATTTTTTAAAATTATTTAATTTAACAAATTATTATGAATTAATCTATGTCTGGAAAAAATAATTATTAAAAGATGATTTTGATTAATTTATAATAATATATGTTAGGAAAAAATTGTTCTATTAATAATCATAATTAGATTAATTTATAATAATTTGTTAAATTAAATAATTTTTAAAATAAATATTTAATTATTTTTAATATTGAAAAAATTATTTTAATTAAATAATAGAAGAAAAAAATATAAGAAGAATAAATTAAAATAAAATAAAAATAAATAAAGAAAAAAATTATTTTATATCATTATATAAATAAATTATAAAGATTATATTGTGTCATTAAATTATAAACTCATATAAAGAGACTCGCTCACAAATT